TCTATCTATCTATCTATCTATCTATCTATCTATCTATCTATCTATCTTAAAATATGTATCTATAAGTGTATCTATAATACATGCACACACATCTGTAATATAGAGAGGGAGAGGGTGGGGAGAGAGTCTGAGAGAGGGAGACTGTGTGTGCGTGAGGAATGTGCATATGCACAGCACGTGTGCAGAGTTGCACTCCTATCTTGTTGTGACAGGTCTCTTTGTCGTTCACCGCTGTGCATGCCAGCAACCTAGCCTGTGACCTTCTGGGGGTTCTTCTGTCCCTGCTTTCCATCTCGCCTGCAGGAACACTATGAATACAGACTCACAATTTTGTACTGGCTTTACATGGGCTCTGGGATTTCAAACTCAAATCCTCAAGCTTACATGGCAAGCACTTGGCCACTGAATTCTCTTTCCAGCCCTTACCTGCTTACATTTATCAGTCTGCAGCACTTAAGTCTGGTCAGTAGGAACTGTATGTGAAGGTACTCAGTGTAAACAAAATACAACTGACATCCCTGATGTTATAATGAGTAGACCCAAGGTTCCTAACTCTAAAAGGAAATGAAATTTAGGTAAAAACACTATGCCACAGTAAACTGTTTATCTGAAGTCATGGTACTATGGTGCTAGCTACTGTTCCAGCAGAGCAGCAGTCTGAAGAACATCGTGTGAGACTACTGCTGTGACTTAGTGAAAGCCAGGAGTTCTTTGCCTCTGTGTCAAGCCTGACAATCTAAGCCAGTCCCTAGAACACACAGTGGAAGGAAAGACCAGACTCCTGATGTCATGTGCATGCACAGACACAATAAATACAGAGAAAACAAGGGCGTGCCCACTCTGGGTTGTTTGAACTTGTACTTACTAAGAATAAAAAGGTAAAAGGAGCTTGTGATTTGTCTCTTCCTTTAACCCCTCTGCTGAAGTACAACTTGGCTTGTACCAGATACTAAATTTCTTAACAGTCCACAAGCAGGTCCACTTTGTCCTGATAACTCACTACTCTCCATGCCCATGTGGATATTGCAACAGAGGACCAGTATATGCTTCATAGAGCAACTTAAGGGATTCTGAAGGCAGGTGGAGAGCACATTTAAAATGGGCTTGAGCATTTAGTTTGCGAAACTCTAGCATAAAACTTCTGGATCAAGAACTGGGGCATATTCCACTAGGAGACAAGCGCTAATATGTTGCTTTGATTTTGCTATTTTTCATAACGTTAGAAGTTAACTGAGGTTCAAATAAAAATCCAGCTATCAAGAGTAAGGAATAACATAGTAAAATCTAAGGCAAGACCATATTATACTGCTTTACACCAGGAACTGGACAGAAACCGCTGAGAGTAAGGGACATTTCCACAGTCATGTCAGCATCACCAACAAACTCAGGATTCTTTAGTGGTGCCTTCACAACTGTATGTGATCTGGTTGAAGCATACCGGCAAGAGTAGGAAATCTATCTGGTACCACCTCTCCCTTGGGCTGAGATGGTTGTGCAGTACCGGGTTCTACATTTGGATTCACAACGGCATAGCGGAGCAGTTCTTCATACTCTTCCTAGGAGAAGCCAGTAATGGTGATGTGTTAAAACAGCTAAAGTATTGCATCCAACCACTCAGGTTTTTGTTGTGTAAGAAATCTACTTAACCATGTCATAGTCACATACTTACTACAATACAGAAAAGTTTAGCTCTTATGCGAAGCATGAGTTCTTTGACTACCTCTAGTATGACTTTTATATTTATAATTAAAAGTTTAAAGAGGTGACAGATGTTGGTGATTCAATACAACACTTTTTTTTATCTCTCCTTACATTTCAGATCAATTTAACTGAAGGTGAGACAAGACATGTTATTAAAAAGCTACCATTTCCAAGTACTTAAATTGAGGCTCAGTTTGTATTTTCTCTCTCTCCTTCTTCCCTTTCACTCTTCCTCCCCTACTCCTCCTGACTCTCTCTTTCTTTTTTGAGACAGGGTTTCCCTATATTCCCCAGGCTGGGACTTGCTGTTACTCCTCAGTCTTCCTGCCTAAGCCTCCTGATGCACTGCCACACAAGGTACAGGACTTCACTGATATTATGTAACTCAAAAGAAGCAAACTGGACACTCAAGCTTCTGAGACTCAGGCATTCTATTTCCCCTAGTTTCAAGTCTGCACTCATTAAGGCAGCTTGCTTACTTTTATTGCCATTAGAAGAAAATGTGATGGATTTGAGTTTATAAAATAAATCTGTATGATTGTAGCTCTGTTTCAGCATTGGAATTTTAAGTTAAACTGTAAAAGGGGTTTGTACTATTTTGTTTGAGAACTGTGAAATTTCAATATGAAAGTGGGGTTGGTTTGAGTTTCAATTTGGATTCTATTTAACACAGATACATATATGCATTAAGCATTAGGTGAAAGCAATACAAATATTTTTATGCAGTAATTATTGACATAGAAGAAGAGAAGTAGACAACCATGTAGTAATAGAAGAAAGCTGGCCAACAGAAAACCTTAACACCAGATGTAGGATAAAAGGGCAAAGGAAAAACACCCTGACCCCGACTTGACCCCAAACCCAAGAGTAGGGTCAAAAACCAGAATCCTACCTACCAATGCCTGAGGTCACCAAAGATCAGAACTGAAATCCCAGCAATTCTCACCCTGAAAATCTCCAGCCCACCCCAAGCCATATATATAAGCCATATATAAACCCTGCCTTCTGCTCAGTTCCCTGCTGCTTCCCACCCCTACTCCTCCAGCAGAACTCCGACACTTGCATTGGGGAATCTTCCCCTGCAGCCGCGGAGCAGAGCGGTAACACTTCTGTAGGGAAAGACTTTCCCTTTGCAGCTGCAAACTTACACTAGAGCCCTTTCCATACCGTAGGTCAACTCCTCTTTCTTAGTGATTCCCCTTCAAGGCAATAAAAACCTGAATTTTAAACTGTTTCCCAGTATTTAAGTAGAAAGTGTAGCAGGTGTGGATGTAAACACCTGTAATTGTAGCACTAAAAAATGGAGATAAGAGGATCAGGAGTTTGAAGCTAGCCTGGGCTACAAAGAGAGTTCCAGGCTAGCCAGAAACTACAAAGTGAAACTCTGTATCAAAAAATTATTTAGCATATCATACTATCTAATTTCATACTGACAAAACTAATTATAAGATTAAAATACTCTTAAATTAAAAAAATTCTTTATCTTACCCATTTGCCTGCAAATTTCATGATTTCCTTGTAATTAATTGCTGTTATTAATTGTATTCCATTGTGTAAATGTACCACAATTTCTGTATCCATTCCTCAATTAAGGGACATCTGGGTTGTTTCCAGATTTTGGTTATTACAAATAAAGCTGCTACGAACATGGTTGAGCAAATGTCCTTGTATACTTTAGCATATTTTGGATGTATGCCTAGGAGTGATCACCGCCCCCTAATGGGGGTGGGCAGCCTTACCAGGCCACAGAGGAATACTATGAAAGACAGTCCTGATGAGACCTAGGGTCAGATGGAAGGGGAGGAGGACCTCCCCTATCAGTGGACTGGGGAAAGGGCATGGAAGGAGATGAGGGAGGGAGAGAGGGTGGAGTTGGGAGGGGTTTAGGGTGGGGGCTACAGCTGGGATACAAAGTGAATAAATTATAATAAATACAAAAACTATTTTAAGAAATTCTAAATCATACCTGGTTGTTAAAATTAAAGGAAATTCAAAATATTCAGTTATTAAGAAAGAGGGCAACCCTAACTTGATAAACTGGGATAAGCTACAACATAATTCACTGGTCTCTGTCAGCGTCACTGTGAGCTTACCCTATGAAATAAGGTAGAGGGTTGCAGGTCTCCTGCAGCAGCCTTGTTAATGGACCCGAGCACTCATTTCTCTTTTATTCCTGTAAATTGATAAGCCCCAGGGTCTGACCTGGGCAAATGCTCATCTACCTTTCCACCTACTTGCAGCTCAGGCAATCAGAAAACAGTCTTTGGGATTTGAATCTCTCATGTAAACAACACACCCTGACCCAGTCAGCTGGCCTACCTCACCTGTCAGTGTCCAGGTTCAAGGGGGCAGGTTATGCCAAATGTTGTGGCAACAGGAACCAGAACCTCACTGCACAGAACAGCAGAGTGCCCCGGGCTCTAGAACCTCAGACGGTTTGATGTTCTGTTACTTTTCGTTAAAGATGAAAGCATTCAGCAGACAGTTAAATGAGAACACTTCACAAAACATTCCGAAAATTTTAGTTTCATTTTTCACTGTATTAAAGCCTTTGTAGAAAAAGCTTTCAAACTGTTCATGGCTATTTTCTTAAAACTTAAAACAACATGCTCCCCAGATTCATGGGGAGTTCTCTAAGTTTGATAATATCATAAATGCAAATATTTCATTATAATGGAATGCGTAAATAAAAAATGTATTTCTGGTTTTTGCCACAAACACTTATGTCTAATTTTTTTTTTTGGTGGTGGTGGTGGGTGGTCATCTCTCTATGGAGCACTGACTCTTCTGGAACTCTCTGTGTAGAGCAGGCTGGTCTAAACTCACAGAGATCCCCTTGCCTCTGCCTGCTGAGTTCTGGTAGTATAAAGGCCTACACCATTACACAAGGGCTTTACGCTTTTTAAAAAGTCACAATAAATTTAGGTGTCTTCCTACCTGAAGGTCTGTGGAGACAGAACTGCCATGATCAGAGTCATTGTGAACAACATGAAGCACATACTTGTCCTCATCAGATGACATTCTGCAAATACTATAAAACAACACAAGTTAACTTTAGTTGTTTCCTAAGACTTACAGCAAAAGCGTTTAAAGACATGGAAGTGTAACAATGCTTTAACTTGCAAACATTTTTCATGTCATTTAAAAGGAATCGCCCATTCAACATACTGAGGACTTAAAAGCAAAAACCAAGGGGTCAAAAAAAAAAAAAAAAAAAAAAAAAAAAGACTCAGTCCAAACATCAGTGTATCTACAATATACTGAGAGGATAAGTGAAATACATGAAAGATTGAAGAAAAATGCTTCAGAACACTGTCCTGCAGAGTCTGTCTCCAGTAAGCACACGTGGTCACCCTTCTTCAGCCTGCGTGACATCCCTGGCACTATATACGCTCCTGTGACGTACTATACTAAGATAGCCTAGGAATTTGTTTAAATTTCCTTCCTGAGACACTTAACTAAAACAAACAAACAAACAAACAAACAAACAAAAACTACTATATAAAAAAGAGAGATTTAAAAGACCATAACTATATAATCTATCCAAATACCAGTAAATAGACAAGACAGCCCAGGTATTGAGAACTGAAAGGTGTGCAGGTCCATTCTGAGAGACAGACTAAAGATAAAAACATCAGTGCAGGCTGAGATACAGAGGCATGGCATATATGCCAGGAAGAACTAGGATGTCTGGTTAGGTAGAAGCAAAGTAAGACTTTGATGAAATAAAAAGGATTAGTTAAGATAATGACCCTTCATATGAAAAGGCTGAATCTTTACAGGAGATATTCCATGTCTTAAACAACTGGTGTAAACAACCTTGTTTTTTATTTATTTTTGTAGTGCTGAGGATTGAGCCCACATGCAACTATGCAAGTCAGGGCAAGAGCTCTACTGCACAGCTACATCTCCAAATACAGTTTTGTTTTTGTTTTTTAATTGAAATATTACTCTGACAGCCTTAGGGCAGATTGGTATTCTAAAAATATAGAGTTCAATCGAGAGCCAGCCATAGTAATCCAAGTAGTGACTGTTCTTTTCAGACTTAACCCAGGAGATCAATGGGGTCTTTAAACCAGAATGCAGTACCTGCAAGGGAAAGGGAGGCCTGCTCTGAGGCGGTTGTGCTATGGTGATGGCAATGAGGGGTCCCCATCAGTATCCATTTAAAAAGTCAGAGTGAGGATGACTGAAGGTGTTCAGATTCCTGTCTTAAGTAACTAGGCGGATCATAACACTACTCACCAAAGCAAGGAATGTAGGACAGTAAGACTGGGAGGACAGAGCGCAGAACCCGGCGTATTGGCATGAGGTTGCCTCTGAAGCCCTGGCTAAAGCTGTGTGCATGCACAACATCAGTCCTCAGTATCCCTGGGTTCCAAGTCCATGGAAACAGCCAACTGTGGGTCAAAAACACTTCTTAAAATCACCTGGGTACTGAAAATGCACGGACTTTTCTTATCACCATCCCCCAGACAACACAGTGCAACAACTACTTATCTTGCATTTATATTGTATTAGGTTATAAGTAAACTGGAGATGTTTTAACGTGTGAAGGATAGTATGCATAATAGGCTACATGAAACGAAACAAAACAAAACAAAACGCCATTTAATACATGCTTCTTGAGTCCAGGAATCAATCGCTGCCTGTGGTTACAGAACAGATGTCATGTCGTTAAACTGGCCACTTGGTGCACAGCTCCAAGCACTGCAATTCATAGACTAGAGTGTAATAATGGTTCCTAGAGTCAAGCAGGGCCAGAGACCTGTATTACAAGTACCGACTGGAGATTTAGATTGAGGAGGCACTGGCCTATTGGGGTCTACTAAAGAAAAGGGAATGAATGGTAAAGAATTCTTACCCTGAACACACATAGCAGGCATTTTTAGAATATAAATGCATTAATTTTCTAGATTTTAGCTTCCAATATGACTTCAGAGATCATGATCCTGATAATGATAAGGACTGCTACTCTGAGAAGAGGGGACCCTTAACTGCTAACTTTTAATGAACAGAAGAGTCAGCCAAAGCCTGGAGAGGGAGCCACAACACTGGAACTGTGTGGGCAGCACAGTGAGGGTCACGCCCCCAAAAGGGGCAATCAAGGCCCTTAACTTACAAATCAGGAAGTTGCTGTGACATTTGTGACAATTTCAGTTGCTACTGAAACAGGCCTCAGCTTCGGTTTGCTAAGAAAATAAATGAGATAAAGACACTGATGTAGAAGGGAAAGATTCAGGGAAAACCACAGAACAGAAAGCCAGGTTGCAGCCAGTTTGTGAAAAAGGGATTTCTGTATTACTCAGTATATAGAGGATAAGCAGACTAAATCTCAGCTGAGGCTGTCTTCCATTAAGCCACGTAGGGAAAATAAAATAAGCTCAGATCTGCATCAAAGAATGAATACTTCACTGATTCCAAATCAACCATTGTGGTAAATTTGGTCCGTTTTAATTTTCATCACATCTTCCCTTTCGACTTGTTTGCAGACCTGGTACCAACCAGAGGTGGGAGCTGTGGATTATTTTAGTAACAAGCAAGCTAGTACGATCAGACGTTAAAACCTGTTTCTTAAATATGTACTGCGGTCACAAAACAATTGTGCCTTTCACCCTGCTCTTTGCAAAAGACAATTATATGGAGACTCGACAAGGTAGCATTTCCTCAGTTTCTGGGTTCAGAAGGATGATGCTTGCTTTAGTGGGTGACGTACATTACTCCCAGTGTTCTCTAACCTAAGCAGAAACCACGAGACGGTATGAATGCTCCTCTTTGCCATAGTTAGAACCTGGCTGAAAAGTGGGCTCCAGGAATTCAAACGCAGCCAAAGTGTAACCGGCATGAGGTGACGTCCCCCGGCCCAACTGCACAAGCCCCATTCCAACTTTTCTTCCACCACCCTCCAATCCAGGCCGGTTTAAATCTAAATCTTTCTTACTAAAACCCAACCTTCCGTTAGACTATCTCCACACATCCCAAAGAACGGGACCTAAGGGGCGGCTCACAGCGGTGCTTAGTTTGCATCTCTTTGTGCCCCCTCTTCCTGGGCACCCCAGAGACGACGCCCCCAGTTCTGTCAGGGGGAATCGGCCCGGGCGCCGCGGCCCGTACCCACCGTTTCCGCCAAACCGCAGCTCCTCACACGCGGAGACCCCCGCGTCGCCGCCGCAACCACAGCAAGCACAGCGGCGGCCCTAGCAGCCACTTGACAGTTTCAAACCGAGGGCCCTAATAAAAGACAGCCCTGGCCATTGGTCCCCAACCGCAGCAATCCTGCATTTGATTGGCCGGGGGGTGGGCGGGGCCTAGCGGCTCCGCGGAGAAGCCGGAAGTGGGAGATTTGCCAGCGGACCCGGGGCGAGGTCTCCCGCCCAGGATTCCCCGTACGGCGCGTGCTCAGTGCCGCCCTGTGGCTGAGGGCTACGGGGCGGCGCTGCGGACACTGATGCCCGGAAGTCTGCGGAAGCCGCGCGCTGCTGGTTTTCCACGGGGCGCGCAGCCTGGGCGGGAGGCCTCGAGGTTGAGTTTCCGTGCACGGGGAGCCGACCACGGATCGGCTGGCCAGGCGGCTGCTCTCTTAAAACTACAAATGCCCGACCTCCACCGTCTATTGATTGCGTCAGTTTTGGGCTAGGGAGTCGGAGTTTTAACAAATAATGTAAGTCATTCTGAGGACAAGGATTTAAAAGAACTTCCAGCCTAGGTTTTGCTGATGACCTAAATGCTATAAGCTGCAAGTCAGGACCTTAACAGTCAGATTATAATTACAATTTATAATTCGGTTTTACCAAGTACTCATCACTTCGGGCCGTGCTACCCACATTAAACGGTCTAGCGAAATTAAATGAGTTAATCTATTAAAACAGACATCACACAGACATATAGATATCAGTTTTCCAATTCTTTTATTACAATTGGTGATAAATACGACTAGAGGGTCATAAGGTTCCAGGTGAAACAGATTCAGGCATTTGAGATCCCTATTAACTAATATTAATAGGGATTATAATTAATAAAAATATTAATCTATTCAAATTCCCCCTTATTATTATCTAGATGATGTCACTTTTTTTTCTGTATACGGAAGTGACAAGACTCGAGCCTTGCCTACTTCCATATTGTCAAGAGCTAGACTTTTATTATTTTTTAATTTAAAAGCTGTGTGTATGCGGTGGGGAGCATGGTGCATATTTGGGAATAGAGGAAAAGGGAGTTTATTCTCTGTTTCCATCACCTGTGACCTGGGGCTTGAGCGCAGGTCATCAGGCTTGGTGGTGTTTTTACCCACCATTTGAGAGTGAAGTAAGAAAGGCGCCAGAAATTTCTTTGGCATAGGCTGTGTTGATTTCCATTCCTCATGATCATTTTAAATTACTATCACTATAAACAAATTTATGCTTTGTTCAAATAATTGCTGTTCAGTTGAATACTCAATGGAGCTCATTGATTTGGCCAACTAGCTGGCTAACCCCCAGGATCCTTCTGTCTATGCCCTCCCATACAGGGGCCACCACATGCTGCCCTTGTGTGAGTGTTGAGGGTCCTCAAGTGCTTTACTGACTGAGCCATATCCTCTTCCTTTTTCTTATTTGGAGAAGGGAAGACTTTCACAGAAGAAATTAGGCAAACCATAGGTATTCTTTGGTGAAACTGTGGAAGGAGATCAACCTGAACTGCATGGTAGAAACTTAAAAGTTACTGTGTTGTCAAGGTTGCTAGGCCAAGAGAGTTCAATTCCAATTAGCCCATTATAATTTAACTGGAAGCTTGAGCCCTTTACAACTATTTATTCAACAAATATTTAACTCTACTACATGTAAATAGTTTTGTAGATAGTAGGAATAGGGTGGTGTGTAAGCCACAGATGTCTTATAGGTGAAAAACATCAAAGGACACTAGCAAAGCCAAAAGGGAATTAATAATTAAACATTGTCTTGAAGTAAGGAGAAATAAAAAAGTAGCTGTCTGAGTAGAAGCTAGCCACTGAATAACTGATGTCAGAACCTCAAATGATGTTTATTGTGTTTTGGGTAGTATAGTGTAGGATGATATTCAGGATGTCTGGGCCTAGGTGCCGGGCTGTCCCCATCTTACAGATAGCATGTTTCACTTATGATCACATAGCTAGAGGACAGCTGTGGAGTCTATGTTCCCATCACTCAGCATGTGCTATTGGATGCATGGCAAGGGCCTTGAGGTGCAAAAGCTCCTGTACCTGGATAATGAACAAAGGCCAGTGATGCAGGAATTTCAAAAGTGAGGAGACAGTTGCATGGGAGGAGCATGGTGGTGGAGGCCTGATTGAAGATCTTGGAGGGGCTGAGATTTTGTGTCAAAGATAAGTAATATATTTTTAGGTTTTCAGAAGAGAGATTAAAAACAACTTGGGAGGAGGATGAAGAGAAAATAGAAGTGAGATAGTTGGAGATAGAATTGATGGATCTTGATGGAGAGAAAAATGTCAACGATTACCTTCAGGTGTCTGGCTACAGTAGCAGTGGATAGTATTGTCTCATTGTATAGAGAAAGAACATTTGAAGAGCACATTTTGAAAAAATATCAAAATTCAAATTTAAATATGCTTTACATAAAATGCTTGGAGTTCAAAAGTGGGCTGTTCCCTAGAGCATTGAAGACACGTGTCTAGAGTAGAGAAAGGAGCTTGGATCTACATATCTAAATTGGGAGCTTTTGCATATAGTGTGGTTTGCTTTGAAAATGGTTTCAGCTTTTTGTCTTTTCCTGTATTTATGACATTGGCCTTGTAACACCAGAGTGCTTTCCCACCCCTGACCCATGGATACTAACAGACACCATGCAGTGTTGATCGGGCTGAGCCCTACCCTGGGTTATTCGGTCTTGTGTAAGACAGTGGCTTTTCAGACTCCACCTTGCTTTGAGAGACTCTATTTTGAGTGCAGAAGCAGGATGACAGTGCACCCTTGTGGGCACAGAAAGTACTGCCCAGCACCACCCAGGATCCACAGAATGATAACTTCTTCCTGTAAATAGAAAGGATGCTACTCTCTATGCTTATCAAAGTAAATCAGTACTGTATGACACATGAGCACATTAAAACACTCCAGTATACCAGGCCTGAGAACTTATTAGATGTACTAAACTGATAAAAGGTGTAACTTCCTCATTTGAACTCTTTAAAAAGGAAAACACTTAACATTGATGATGAGAGGCCCACCAACCTGTCATCTGACTACCCAGTGTGTGTATGTGTGTGTGTGTGTGTGTGTGAGTGTGAGTGAAGGAACCAACAGAGAACTCCCTGTTTTCCCAAGGGCTTCAGTTAGTTGTTTATCTATCTGCCAGTTCATCTGTGTAGATCCTATCCTGCCCTTCACCTCTACAGTCTGCACTCCACTTCTGCAGGTCTACTCCCAGAAGTGTGGCTTAACCCTTGACTCTATAGCAGCACTTCTAGCAGACTTCCAGTGGGATTAATTATCTGACCCTTCCTATAACAAGACTTTCTATACCTCTATCATATTCCCCTTCTGCCTCTATTAGGCTTCTTTGAAACTCCTTGAACTCCGATATGGCCTCTTTAACCCTTTGCATCCATTCTGTAATGTATGTATGTATGTATGTATGTATGTATGTATGTATGTATGTATGTATATATTCATTTATCTGTATGTAAAAAAGGATATATTCACTGTGTGACCAGAGTGTTAATTTTAATCATTAAGATTGAAGAAAATGAAACTTTTACTTAGCTAGTTTGGCTGCCAAGGAAATTAGGACTGCTTTGAAAACTGGGGGCAACACAGCCATCATACCTTTAAATTTATTGACACTCAACACAGGCTAATATTGAAGAGCACTAATGTGTTTGCCTACATTTCTTCATGCTACAACATGCAACCAGAAGCTTTTAAATGCTTAAGCATTTTGTATGGCTTGCTCTTGACTCCTGTTTTATTCATGAAGCTATGCCTGGGTCTAGCTGAAGAAGAAAGACACATGGCAGTCATTCCAGTCAGTTCTGTCCTCAGTCAGCCTAAGCCACTCGATGCCCACGCAGATAATTACAGGACACTTGAGTATGGTGGTGCATACCTGTGATCCCAGATACTAAAGAGCCCCACGAGGAAGTCAGCCTGGGTAACAAAACCAGACCTACTCTAGCAGCAGTGCCCGGAGGTGACTCAGGTAATCTACAGAGTCACAGGCCAAATAAATGCCAATTGCCTAAAGCCATTGTGCTTTGGTCTGGTTTGTTACATAGACTTCTGTGGCAAAAGAAGACTGATGAATACAATTTAAGTGAAAGAATTTGATCAGATGACATCACAGGACATTGTAAAGAGAGTAGCAAGGAGGACTTAGAACAGAACCCTGGTGTTCTTTAATGCTTAGACATTGTGTGGCAGTAGAGAACCCTGTAAAAGAGATGAAGAAGTACTTGAGAGTACTTGGGAGTGCTTGAGAAGATGGAGGAAAACAAAAGAAGCTTCATGAAAATGCTAATAAAATGACTGTTACACACCTGCCCTAGTATCTTCCTTCTCTTTCTTCTGTTCCTGGTTAAGCCATTGCTGAATTCCACTTGGACTGCTTTTTGATTGGCTGTTTTCATTTCTTTTCTTCCCGGGCTCCACCCTTTACATTCTCCCATTTTCTTGTTGCTGTGATTAAATAACTCTGACAAAAGTAACTTAAGGAGAAAAGGCTTATTTTAGCTCATAATGTGACTGTCTTATCATGGCATGAAAGCCATGGCAGTGGGAACTTAGAGCAGCTGGTTATTTCATGTGTCAGAAGAGAGCAGTGAATGTATGCAGGCTCCCCAGTTCCCATTCCCCACTGATACAGTGCAGAGTCTCAGTCAGGGAATGGTACCACCCACAGTGAGTGGGCCTTTTCACCTCAGTTAGTACAGTCAAGACAATCCCTGCAGACATGTCAGGAAATTCCAGATTTTGTCAAGTTGACAACACTGACTGTCTGTCACATTTGTAAATTATTTTCTTGTGATGCCATTGGACTGAACCACTCCCTCCTCTAATATCTTTTATATATCTCATGGTACTAAATATTTTCCCAAACCCAGCCCCACCAAAAAGTCTCTGCTAAGGTCTCCCAACTTGACACTAAATGTGAAACTTTGGGAAAGGTGTATAATCTTTATAAGATCTTTGATGGTGAGAAAAAAAAATTGTAGAACATACAAAAATCTAAAATGGAAACTAAGACGG